GGGCTCGCTGTATACATGTTAAATATACATGTCCCTACTTCGCGGATTTTCAACTATCGCGGTCGGGTTTGGAACCTATCTACCGCGATAAACGAGGGTTCACTGTATTTCAAAATAGTTATTTCAAATTAATTTACTAGTATAGAGTAGACATTCCCTAACATAGCTACCCCTTTGAGATTTTTTTCACTTTGGGACAGTTCACAGTTGTACCTTTCATATTGTCTCCTTAAGAAACTGCAAACTCTCCTGAACTCCTTTTTCCCTTAGATTTGCTTCCCATGGTAGCTTGCCTACTAATTCTCTGTGTTTGTTAAAGTCTACTTTTTAAAACTATAATTTTCCTTATTCGGCTGGTCTCTCCCTTCCTTTCCTTAGAATCATTAAATCTATCATTCTCAGAGGAGTAACCCTGGTAGCAAAAACAACAAGGTCTCCTGTGGCACATTAAAGAATAACAGATTTAGTATACCAAAACAGAGAGTTACTTTCAAGTGTAGGACTAGTGTTAACAAGGCCAATTCAGTCAGGATGGATGTGACACACTCCCACAAGTTGATGGGGAGGTGTGAATACCAAGAGAGGGAAGGTTGCATTTCTAGTGGGAAAACCATTCCTGAGGCCTTCTGCACATCTGGAAGGATAAATCAGAATATCTGCACCCCTGCCTCCTTTGCCTTAGCTTCCAGGATCTGCTCAGGACCAGACCAGAAAGTATTATTAATGTCCAAGTTGATAAGCAATGATCAGAGGGACCAATGAGCCTGAACAACCTTTTCATGGATGCGAGCGCTAGGCAGCTAGCACACTTTCTGTGCCATCATGTCAGGTCAGTTGATAAATAACTCCATTCCCTTCAGAATGGAGTCTCCAACCACCAGCACTGTGTCTCCTCCTATCAGGTGTAGTGGTCATGAGTAAGGCTGCAAGTCTTTCATAGTGGTCACAGAAGTCACTGTTCCATTACTTTCTGGGACCTCTGACTTCTACAACATCTGGTGCAATTGACCCCAGAGCCACCTGACTCTAGCCACCCTCCCTCTCCCCTCTCTGAACAGCTGGGGCGGCCCTGGAACCAGCCCCACCAGCCACTGCTCAAGGCAGCTGGTCTCCCCAGAGCTGTGGTCATGTAGCAATGGTCTGGGCCCCACCGCCCCCCACACCTGAGCAGCAGTAAAGGAGACCAGTGGTCATGTAGCAATGGTCTGGGCCCCCACCCCTGAGCAGCAATAAAGGAGAGCTGAATCACCCTCTTCCCTGGAGCAGCATCAGAGTTGGGGATCTGGAGCCACTCCTTCAGCATCAGGGGCAGAACACAAGGCTGGCTTCAATCCACCACTTCCCCAACCCTGGAAGACTTATGGCTACGGCTTTAAGTCACGTTTTTTTTAAATAAAAGTAATGGACAGGTCATGGGCAATAAACAGAAATTTCTGATTGTTGCCCGTGACCTGTCCATGACTTTTATTTTATTTTTTAAAAACGTAATTTAATCATAGCTGTAGCCATAAGCCTTCCAGGGTTGGGAATAAATCACTTCTCCTCCTCCTGATGCTACTCATCCATTGAGGTCTACTCTTGTTGTCAATCCTAGTTCTTTATCTGGACCAATGGGGGACCACAGTGGAGACTGTCTACTGCTCAAGCTGTTCCTCCTCACAAAATGGCCAGTTCTACTTTCTCCTCTGGTGCTGCTGCAATTAGCTGTTGTTTGCAAGCATCCTCCTCCCAGGTGTTTCCATGTGCATCCTCACAATGAAGTTCTCATGCTCTTGGATGATCTATAGATAACACACTCTTGCTGCAGCTCTTTTTCCTAATTCCTGCGGAACTTCACTAACAGACACCTCCTATACCTACCTGGTGGTTTCCCTTCCTGGCTTTCATTGTCACGGCAATGCAGGCTGCATTCCCAGAAAATGTACACAAAGGCCTAGATCATGGTCTCCAACCTTTAAAGTATGAGATCACTCTTTGATTTTAAGTGTAATCCAGGATCAACCGCAAACCCAAATACTTTTGCCCCATCGCCTTCGTGTCCCTTCTTCAAGACCCCACCCCTGCTCACGCCATCCTTCCTTCCTCCCTTTCATCAGGCAGAGGCAGAGGGTTGGGGCGCAGGCTCTGGTCTTGGGCTAAGGGATTTGGAGTGTGAGAAGGATTCTGAGCTGAGCCTGGGGCAGGGGTTGTGAGGAAGGAGAGGGCGCTGTAAGGGAGTTTGGGTCTAGGGGGGGCTCAGGGCTAGGGCTGAGACTTGAGGTACAGGACGGAGTATTTGACTGGGATAGGGATTCAGGATGCAGGCTCCAGCTGGACACTGCTTACCACAGGTAGCTCCTGTGTAGTTGATTTAGTAAGGCTCACCCCTGCCCTGGCCCTGCACCACTCTCAAAAGCAGCCAGCAAACTCCTTCCCCATCTCCCCATTTCCATTCTGTGAAGATAGAATACAGGATGGGAGAGGAGAACAGCTTCAAGACAAAGGGCAGGAGTTGTGCAGCAGTGGGGAGAGGGGCAGCTGACATGCATCACTTGATAGCTTCTTGGCCATACCAGTCAAGATCACCTGTCAGAGGCTCCAAGATCTACCAGTAGATCCCAGTGGTTGATGACCACTGGTCTAGATGGAAGCCTTAAAGATCAGGATGCCTGTCTGACAGAGACCCCACAGGTGGAGTCTGAGGAAGAGCTAGAAGTGGTGATGGTGAAACATAGTTTTCCTCCAAGCCTTAAAGATCAGGATGCCTGTCTGGCAGAGACCCCACAGGTGGAGTTTGAGGAAGAGCTAGAAGAAGTGATGGTGAAACATAGTTTTCCTCTTATGCAGGTTTTCCCTTTGAGAGTGCTTGCAATTTAAGGAAACAAAAAAACAAACCAAAGTATAAGCTACACAGCCCTACCTCCCACCACTGGCAAGTTCAACAGGGTCCCTTTGTCTCCCAGCTGTCTTCATTTTACCATCTACCACTGACTTACATTCAACTTGTGAGCCATTTTAACAATTATATAATTTTTAGCAGTACCACAATCTACCAAGGCATTCTCCAATTTTTAGCTCTGAATTAGAGTTGCCCTTGCAAAGTAAAGTATTTTGCACTTGTTTTATTGGATTTCATCTAAAACCAATTCTTTAATTTTTTTCAAAATCAGTTTGAAATCTAATCTTGTCCTCTAAAGTGCTTACAACTCCTCCCAGCTTGTTTTCCTCATCAGATTTTATTAGCACACTCTCCACTCCATTACTTAGGTCATTAATGAAAATACTGAATAGTAACAGATGCAGGACTGACCCCTGTCGGAAGCTACTAGTCAGTCTAGTGCACCCTCCCAAGCTGACAGAAAACTATTAAGTACTCTTTGAATAATCTTCCTCCCAGTTATGTATCCACCTTATACTGAAAGTTGTTAGAGATTTCCTTATTTTGTTACTTCAGAGCTGACTACATTTCCTAGATGAAATTTAACATCATAAAACAAGTTAAGAAAGGGGAAAATATTCAGAGACGTCTATTCTTCCATTTAAATAAATGGAAGGCATACAACTCATTTACAATTAAGCAATATAGGACCTTGCATTAACATGTGAAGTAACAGAGGTAAATCCGCTCACTGGGAATTAGTATGAACATGACAGACAATACTTTTGAGATTTAAAAAGGAACATCAACATAGTGAAATTAAATAAGAAAAGGATATCTAGATGTAAACTAAAAGATTAGCAGATTTTTGATGGGAGCATTTCACGTGTTACTACAGTGAAATATCCTGTAGTGTGCTCCATTCTTTTTTCATTTGAGAAAATAAGAACTATCATTTGAAATCTTTTTTCACCTCTTCCTCACACCCTTTATTTTAAGAAATAAAGATTAGCACAAAACGTATTAATACTGTGTTGCTGCGGATGATTGGTAAATATGTTGAATTTACATACATATGTGTACATATTTCAAATAAGAGACTCACTTCTACAGTTATATTTGATATTTAATGTTTCAAACAAATCATCCAGAATCGCTAGATCATTGTTTCTCTGGATAGGAAAAACAATCCAGTATTCAACGTATAAGTAATTGTAGATCCAGAAATTAACAACGATAAAATACTAAAAGTGAAAACAGAAAGATGACATTAAAAATCTCAGCCGATTACAACTAATTAATTGAAATAGCCAGTAGATGGCAGCAGAGGCCAAATTAGAAATGGATGATGCATTCCCTCACCTTTCCCTTTTCACTCCTGTTTCTCAATTATCTAAACTAATTATTCATAATTGTTATATTGTAATCATGAAAATAAGTATCTACATATTTTTCGTATAAGAATACGGTATAGAGCGATTACCCCTTCCACACAGAAGGAAAAAAATGTTTCCACCTTTAATTTACAGCTTTGGTTTTTTCGCCTCGCTGGAATAGAGATGAGTTCTCTCAATGTCATTTGCGAGCGATCATTCATAGCAAAGCTCACAATCTCAAAATATTTTTATTTAGAATAATCACCAAAGCAGACACGTCAATCGCAGTGACGAAATGAAGAAAGGGAAAGACACAGCACCGCGGCCCACTCCCGCCCGTAGCCCCCTGGTTTTCGCAGCCGCCCCCCGCCGACTCAAGCTGCGGCAAATGGCGACCAAAACAGGAGAGATGGGCCGAGGAGGGGGAGGAACGGGCCCGGAAACCTGATTGGTCAGATTTTGCCGCAGCCTCCAAAATCTTTGAAACCCAGAGAGGAGCCTTCTCAACCCCAAACAGCCGCCAAAGCGCACCCCAGGGGCACAGAGACTAGCACGGCGGAGCGTGACCGCGGCTCGTTATTTTAAACAAGGGACAGAGGCGCCCAATAGAGCAGGAAAACTGGGGGCTCCACTCCGCTTCCTGGGGGCAGGCTTGAGAAGGACTCTCCGCACCCTAGAACTGACAGGCAGGGTTCCAGGCATCGGCTGGCCCCAGGGACTTCTTATTTATTTTACTAGAAAGCCTCGGGGTGTACAATTCTCGCAGTGAACAGAGACAGGCGGGTGGGGGAGGGGAAGAGAGGCGGGCTAAGAAGCCCGCCCTTTTTCTTTTCAGTTCTCAATCAGGTCGCCAAGCACACACACTACACGTCGTCTCGGCTCTGCTAAGGTGCCTTGAGTCTGCTGTCACCATGTCTGGTCGCGGTAAAGGCGGGAAAGGGCTGGGGAAAGGGGGTGCTAAGCGCCACCGTAAAGTGCTTCGGGATAACATCCAAGGGATCACCAAGCCGGCTATTCGTCGCTTGGCTCGACGTGGAGGCGTGAAGCGTATTTCGGGATTGATTTACGAAGAGACCCGCGGAGTGCTGAAAGTGTTCTTGGAGAACGTGATTCGGGACGCTGTCACTTACACCGAACATGCCAAGCGAAAGACCGTCACGGCGATGGATGTTGTTTATGCCCTGAAGCGCCAGGGTCGTACTCTCTATGGTTTTGGCGGCTAAAGGGCTCACTAAAGGCGACAGAACAATACAGGCTCTTTTAAGAGCCCCCCCACGCTTTCTCAATAAGAGCTGTGATCAGTGTGTTTTGTTCTCACGTGAAAAGTAAACATACAAAAAAACAATAAATGTTACTTTCATAATATGAGGTTTTACAAAAAATGAATAGCACGCATATGACGAAGTGGGCTCCAGCACACAAAAGTTGATCCCCAAATGTTAATTTAACGTACCACCAAACTGCTCGTTGAATAATTTTTTTCTAGTTCTGTAGGCTTTTATAATGGCCATTTCTGTTGTAAATGCGAACAGCTCTACAGATAAAGTACCATGAGTGCTTGTACAGCCACAAGTTTTAAACAATTAAAACTTGGTGCCAATAAGTTTAACGGGTTGCAAAAGACAATATTAGCGAAATTCTACATTTTGTTATCTTTGCAACACGTTTCATGAGTGCTTCTATAACTACGTGATTAGGCGCAGTTTTTCAGGGCGTTTAGTCTGTTAAGATGGGTCCATAATTATGTTTTTTATAGAGTCCGATAAGAATACAAAGAATGTACTTATTTTTATTTGCAGAGCATCCTACTAAATAGAAGAACCCTACCATCCACTACTATCTTCACTTTGTAATTGAGCAATAGAGAGATACTAAAAATCTTTTCAGATACCAGTACTGCCAAAATCTACTCCCGCCCCCAAGAAACGCGAACCTGTGATTAAGGCCCAGAAACAGGGCTACAGAAACAAAGGAAAACTAAGTTACTTCATCTTTGCTTACAAAGATTTGAAGCAAGTTAGTCGTGACCCCGGTACCTTCAACAAACTCATGGGAATCATTTAACTGCTTTGTAAACATTTTGAGCTCATTTCCAGAAAAAAAAGCCATAGCTAAGCCATTTTGAGCTCATTTCCAGAAAAAAAAAGCCATAGCTAAGCGAGTTCGCCAACATGCTGCTCGGGAATGCATAAAATCTGACACAAACTACACTAGGTCAAATTAAACTTTCTCCTAATACAATAATTAATACCGATAGCTGGAAGGCAGCTACTCATGTTTCACTTATTTTCCCTCAAGTTAAAATACTACCATTCAAGAACGTAACCACTAATTGTAATGTTGAAAAGTACACATATGCTATTTTAACTAATGCCCCATACTCATTTACATAAATGTATTTAGTGTAAAGAAGTATTTAGTGTCCATTCAATATTTTTGTATGTCTACTTTTCACGTGAGAACAAAACACACTGATCACAGCTCTTATTGAGAAAGCGTGGGGGGGCTCTTAAAAGAGCCTGTATTGTTCTGTCGCCTTTAGTGAGCCCTTTAGCCGCCAAAACCATAGAGAGTACGACCCTGGCGCTTCAGGGCATAAACAACATCCATCGCCGTGACGGTCTTTCGCTTGGCATGTTCGGTGTAAGTGACAGCGTCCCGAATCACGTTCTCCAAGAACACTTTCAGCACTCCGCGGGTCTCTTCGTAAATCAATCCCGAAATACGCTTCACGCCTCCACGTCGAGCCAAGCGACGAATAGCCGGCTTGGTGATCCCTTGGATGTTATCCCGAAGCACTTTACGGTGGCGCTTAGCACCCCCTTTCCCCAGCCCTTTCCCGCCTTTACCGCGACCAGACATGGTGACAGCAGACTCAAGGCACCTTAGCAGAGCCGAGACGACGTGTAGTGTGTGTGCTTGGCGACCTGATTGAGAACTGAAAAGAAAAAGGGCGGGCCTTAGCCCGCCTCTCTTCCCCTCCCCCACCCGCCTGTCTCTGTTCACTGCGAGAATTGTACACCCCGAGGCTTTCTAGTAAAATAAATAAGAAATCGCCGCGGCCAGCCGACGCCTGGAACCCTGCCTGTCAGTTCTAGGGTGCGGAGAGTCCTTCTCAAGCCTGTCTCCAGGAAGCGGAGTGGAGCCCCCAGTTTTCCTGCTCTATTGGGCGCCTCTGTCCCTTGTTTAAAATAACGAGCCGCGGTCACGCTCCGCCGTGCTAGTCTCTGTGCCCCTGGGGTGCGCTTTGGCGGCTGTTTGGGGTTGAGAAGGCTCCTCTCTGGGTTTCAAAGATTTTGGAGGCTGCGGCAAAATCTGACCAATCAGGTTTCCGGGCCCGTTCCTCCCCCTCCTCGGCCCATCTCTCCTGTTTTGGTCGCCATTTGCCGCAGCTTGACTCAGGGCGGGGCGCTGCTACAGACAATGCGGCACAGAGGCCATGGACGGGAGTGGGCCACAGTGATGCGCCTTTCTCTTCTTTCATCCCCTCACTGAGATTGGTTTTCTGCTTTGGCCGTTTATTTGTGCTATGTGTGCATAAGCGTGCGTTGTGAGCGTAGCTGCGAATCGCTCCAAAGCTGTTCGCTTGGGAAATCACAGTGAATTTCACATAGCGCATGAGTTCTGCTTACGCCTCTGGCGTTTGGATATGGAGAAACCTCCCCCACTCCTGTCTCTTTCTGACAAGTCTTTTAATGGTTCTCTACCTGTGCCCAGTCTTTTTTGTTAATTGATGATATGAAACAATTATACAGTTTGCACCTCTATATACCGGATTACTCTAGTCCGGCAACATGTATGGGATGGGGAGCAGTGGTTGTGGAGAGTGCAGGAGCCAGGGGGGGGGCAGAGGGCGGTTCCTGGGGGACTGGCCTGAGCCTGCCCTGGCTCAGCTGTGCTGGGAAAAAGCCGAGGGAGGGTGCAGGGCAAAGGGGCAGCAGCAGAGGGCCATAAATGACCTTCCAGTCTTGGGACCAGTAAGATCTCCAAGGTGCAGGACCAGGGAGGTCCAACCTGTATTTCTGTAGTAAGAGTCTGATAGTTATTACAAGAATACAGGAGCCAGACCCAGATGACATGTGGTGGTAGATGCATTCAACAAAGGGTGAGGGTGTTAGGTAGGGCAGGAGAGCTTTTTTCTAGGGAGGGGTTGAGGAGTGGAGGAGTGAAGATAGAAGGCAAGATGCTAGCTGAAGATTCAAGTTACTAGACTTTAACAATATTATTAATAACATAATCACAATAATAATTCTGTGTCTAACACTTACCAAGCAAAACTGAACTGCATTTTGTTATCCCCGGGTATGGGCAACAATGACAGTTCCTTTACCAACTCAAGACAGAAATGTTTATTCTAAACATCTCTACATAAATGTTGACAGAGACATTATTTCACTTTTAAGGTACATAGCAAGTGGATCACCTTAGATTCATATAATGGTCTGAAGTATGATAGTCTGTAACCATACTAATATTTCATATATATGTACAGTACTGTTTAGATGATTGCAAACTTTAATCATTTATTTTGGCAAAATGGTTCTGAACTCAATAAGGAAACAGGATAGTCCCATTTTACAGAGGGAAAAACGAAATAGAGGAAAGGAGTCTTTTAGTCAAGACCAAAAGAGAAGGAATCACTTTCAGAGCAAGAGTGGAACTCAGATGTTTCTTTCCTGACTCTTCCAAAACATTTAATTTGACTTTCAGAGCAAGAGTGGAACTCAGATGTTTTTTTCCTGACTCTTCCAAAACAACATTTAATTCGGTGCTAGAAGAATGTTCATTTTTCCTACTTTGTGCAATTTCATCTAGATACTTCATGAACATATTGTTAGTAGAAAAAAATTTAATTCCCATAAAATATTCTCACATTCATAGATCTTTTAACAATTAAAACATTTCTTATGAATAAAACATGATCATAGTCGTTTACAATGTGGCACTACAAGGCTGAAGAAAATGTTCTTAAATAATTTATAACATTTTACAGAGGATTAATATTTTCACTTTTAACTTAATTTCAAGATAATACTGGGGGAAAGGTGATGCATAAAATAATTACATAGTCAAAGACGTAAGTTTATTAATTGAATTGAATAGTTTTCAGAAAGCACAAATAAAATCTTCTGTGTTCATTTAAATTCCCTCATTGTGCATATACATTCAAATATTTTCTTTAAATTTCTGATCACAGTGGACCAACGAGAAGTGTGATTGAATGATAGCTTTGATAGGTGAATATAGGAGCAAATTAGCTTTGACTTGTTTTACCTGAACAATATTTAGGTAACTATGTGTTTGGGGGAGGGAGCTAAGTAGATGCATTCAGGACATTGAGTCTCAGTTTTGTGGCCAAAAGACAGGTTTTGGGAACAAAACATGCCAATGTAGACAAGACCTAAGTCACCTAAAAAGGAGATCAGGGTGTCAGAACAAGGGATGGGAGGCAGTGGGAAGGGCTGGTGCCCTCCCACTGTATACCAGTGCTAAGGGGAGCTAGGCCAGTGAGAAGCAAGAAGGGGCAGAGGCATAGGAAAAAGCAACAGTGGAAGAATGAGGCTTCAGGGAGGGGGAATGGGTAGCATGAGGGCAGAGTCTCAAGGGGAAGGAGCTAGGTGAGGGCCCAGGCACAGAAAAAAGGGTGGTTGCAGGGGCAGGACTTGGGCGGGGGGGCAGCATGGCATGCAGTTGCCCCTCCCCCATCCCCATTTTCAGGGTGCTTCCATGGCTCTTGAATGAGAGAGTCTCCTAGGTTACTTAGGGCATGTCTACACATGTCCATTGCATAGCTTAAGTCAAAATAGCTTATTTTGGCTTTTGGGGCTGTCTACACAGCAGTAAATCCGAGAAAGGGCACTCTTCCTCCAACTTCCTTTATTCCTCATAAAATGATATTTACGGGAGTCAGAGCAAGAAGTCCTCCAGCCTGACATTATTTTAACATAATGTCAAAATAACTGTTTGTAGTTTGAATGCGGACTATGTTAATTTAGAATGACGTCAGTTATTCCGAAATAATACTGCTGTGTAGACATACCCTTAAGGTGCTTCTCAAACTTGTACAATTAGTAAATCACATCCTCTCCCTCCTTGTTTTAGGTCATTTTACACAGATTTATTTTAAAATGGAAACCTTACTATAATTTAAATAACAAAATTTAAAAATCTGCTTTAAATGGAAATAAATAGTTTTGAAATTATACATCTATCTATCTATCTATCTATCTATCTATCTATCTATCTATCTATCTATCTATCTATCATCTCCACTCTGCTTTTGCCCAATCTAGCTACTGTAATGCTCTTAATTTAGATCACAAAATGTTGCTAACATGGTTAAAATACTCAGCATTTCTTGGGGTGCACCTACAGAGCAGGGCTTAACTCAAAATAAATTACACAAACTGAGCTACGTCAATTGCTTAGCTTATTTCAAAATAGCTTATTTTGAAATTGGGAGTGTCTACACAGCACTTATTTCAAAATAGAGCAGTCTTCCTCTGGCTTCCCTTACTCCTTGTACAATGAGGGTTACAGGAGTCTGAGTAAGAAGTCCTCCAGCCTGACAGTATTTCAACATCATTTTGAAATAACTGCTTTCTGTGTAGATGCAGACTAAGTTATTTCAAAATAACTACTGTCCTGATAGACTTCAGGGCTGTGTCTAGACTGAATTCCTTTTCCGTAAAAGGGATGCAAATTAGACACATCGCAATTGCAAATGAAGCAGGGATTTAAATCCCCCCCCCCTTCATTTGTATAAACATGGCTGCCGCTTTTTTCTGGCTCGGGGCTTTGCCGGAAAAAAGCACCAGTCTAGATGGGGATCTTTCGGAAAATAAAGCCTTTTCTGAAATATTATGAACCAGCAACTCAAGAAAGTAAACCAGTCTCAGCTGCATGTCTTCCATATATATTTATTCCAGGCCCTTAGTGCCATAAGTGGAAAATCATGGAATCAGCTCAAAGCAATAGCCTGTATTGAATTTTGGCATTAACACCACTGTCATCTGGCAAGAAAATGAAAAGTTAAGGCATGAGACATAGATATCAGCAGCGATTTGAAATCACTAGAAATCTTTATTAAGGAGAAACAAAAGACAGGACTATGCAGCACTTTAAAGACTAACAAGATGGTTTATTAGAAATCCCGGATGACTGGAAAAAGGCAAATGTAGTGCCCATCTTCAAAAAAGGGAAGAAGGACGATCCAGGGAACTATAGGCCGGTCAGTCTTACCTCGGTTCCTGGAAAAATCATGGAAGGGATCCTTAAGGAATCCATATTGAGAGGATGCTTAAGGAATCCATATTGGATGAGAGGAAAGTGATTAGGAATAGTCAGCATGGATTCACAAAGGGCAAGTCGTGCCTGACCAATCTGATTAGCTTCTATGATGAGGTAACTGGCTCGGTGGACATGGGGAAGTCAGTGGATGTTATATACCTTGACTTTAGCAAGGCTTTTGATATGGTCTCCCACAATATTCTTGCCAGTAAGTTAAGGGATTGTGGATTGGATAAATGGACAGTAAGATGGATAGAAAGATGGCTAGAAGGCCGGGCCCAGCGGGTAGTGATCAATGGTTCGATGTCAGGATGGCGGTCGGTTTCTAGCGGAGTGCCCCAAGGTTCGGTTCTAGGACCGGTTTTGTTCAATATCTTTATTAATGATCTGGATGAGGGGATGGATTGCACCCTCAGCAAGTTTGCGGATGACACTAAGCTGGGGGGAGAGGTAGATACGCTTAAGGGCAGAGATAGGGTACAGAATGACTTAGACAAACTGGAGGATTGGGCCACAAGAAATCTGATGAGGTTCAACAAGGACAAGTGAAGAATCCCGAGCATAGTTACAAGCTGGGGACCAACTGGTTAAGTAGTCGTTCTGCAGAAAAGGACCTGGGGGTTACAGTGGA